TTAAGTTTATTGGTACAATTTAGGTATATACAATGATCACTTTTATCATAGGGAATTTGTATCTATACATGATATATCTGGTTTCCTCTTTATTTTTTTCCAGTCCACTTGCATCCCTTGAACCCCTCTCCCCTTCCTCACTTACAAAGCTTTGCTTCCATTTTTATCCTTCTTTTATGGTTTTTTGCCCTTCTTTCCTGTTCCCCTCACCCTTCCCTTGTTCCCCTTCATTTGAACCAATTCTTCCTGCTTCTCTACACCTATTACCCACTTTGGTCCCTATTTACCTTTTTGGTCTCTCATACCAGAGAAACAATGCTGTACTTGCTCATGAGTGCCCCACCTTAGATTGTATTTAAAACGAAGGTCAATAATACCAACCTTCAATATTATTCGGAAGAATAATTTACATATTCAATCTATAAAACCAGGTACACTCATCCCTATCTCTTACTGTTGATTTTCATCTTTACCTTAGTTTCCTCAAATCTCTTCATGGAACACAAACTAATGGAACCTATTCAATTCTGGCAAGCATTCAGTCTTCATGTGGTGAACAAACATGGAAAAATGAGAATCCAGAAAGAAAGAAAGACACAAGTCTCAAGGCTGCTAAATACTTTTCATTGTCTCCTGTCTTGTTGCAGACAGCAAAATTCTGTAAGGTATCCATGTGCAGTTTACCAAGCCCTGAGTGGAACTTTCAGATCTTGCTGCTGAAAATATTTATGTAAAGAAAAGAAAGAGTGGGGCAAACACCCCGATGTTACCTTTGGCAGACAGCATCAGCGGATAACCTGAAGGCTTATGTCATTTCTGGGTAAGAGAACTGGACACATTCTCCTGTGGATGGGTTTGTCCTCTTCACAGTGTTAAACACCCTAACCTCTCAAGTTCATCACAGTGCTTTCAGGCAGTACTTCAGGAAGGAAGCTCAGCGTTCTGTAGAAATGATGCTCAAAGGGCACAGGCATTGCTCAGAATCTGAGAGCAATTCAAGCCAAGGGTTTCAGAACAGGGGCTCCTGCCTCAGGGATGCTAGGTTTAACATTTCTAATAGCTGAAAGACTTGGAAGTGTATTAATTTTTCATTGCTGTTATGAAAAATTCCCCAAACTTTTGTGCCTCTATAGGAGACTATCTTTGGCTTATAGTTTGGAAAGCTAGAAGTCTAAAGTGGGTTCAGAGAACCTAAGGGGGTTTCCTTACCTCTTCCAGCCAAGGTTCCTTGATCACAGTCCCTCTAGCATCTCAGAGTCCACAGTACAGCATCTTCTGTCCATCTGATTATTTGCTACGCTGGGTCCACTAACCAGGAGAAATCATTCCATCTCCCACACCACATCTCAAGCTCTTCATTTACACCCTTTGCCATATAGGTATCCTTTCATCTATACCTCTAGGTTTCAGAGATTAAAACAGATATTTTAGATGTTCATTAATCCACTTACTGCAGTGAGTAAATTGCTGTGGGTTTTTTCCTTTGGTTTTTGTCTGAGCTATGGTCTATATTGCCCTGGCTGACCTAGAATTCCTGGGTTGAGGTGATCCTCCTAACTCAGCCTCTCTTCTTGGTAGTTAGGACAGGAGATGTGTGCTACCATGTCTAGTTCTCTTCATTTTTAACATGGTAATGGCAATAATTTTTGTGCCATTGAGTTGTAAGAATCAAATAAAGTTGCATGCAATAATCACTATTATAAAAACTCACTGTATTATTTGGTCAAGGAGTTTTAGATACATTCATGGAAAAGGTAGGTCTAATCCCTGCACAGAAGTGAATGTAAGTGAGAAATCCTAACAATAAATGTGTGTTTGAAAGCTGCAACTGGACCTGGTAGAGAAGAGTGAAGACTCAGGACAACTTGTCTGAGAAAGTAGCTTCTAATTCAGATTTTATGAATGACATAAAATTGCTTAGTTAAGATGAAAATGTATGGAAGAACATTTCAATAAAAAAGAAAATATATGCACAGAGCAGAACAGTAGGAATCAGTGTGGTGTATTTGAGGAATCTGAAGTGTGGGAAGGAGTGAGGAAAGAGGATGCTCAGATATAGGCAGAGAGCACAGAATCTCATCCTCAGAAGGCTGCTGTAGAGATGGTGAGCGAATCCTAAGTGCAGTGCCCTGAGAGTGCTCTGATAGCTGACCCGGCTATTACTGGACGCTGTGCAGAGAAGCCCAGGCAGGAACTCCAGGAAGGGCATTTAGTCCACCAGGAAGAACAAAGTGCCATAGGATGGCTCCCAAAGTCACTAACCTGAGGACATCAGCAGGCAGGTGACTGATGACACCCCAGTGAATGCCCTGGGAGGAAAGAAATGGGTCAGATGGGTAAGAGTTCTCAGTCCACACTAGAGATGTTCTGAAGCATAGAGGAGTGCTGAGTTAAGACAGAGGAAAAGAAGAGATTTTCTTTTTCCTGTTCAGAAATAGCCATTTATTGTATTTTGTTATAATTTCTTCATGATCTTTTTATGTAAAATATCATTTGTTTTTTAAAATTTATTTTTTATCTGTACATTTTCAGTATATGTTTGCATCCCTGCATATGTTGTTATATATAATAGATAATTTTTATATTACATATACCCAAGTTTTACACAAATGGGAATCACACTGAAAAGAGATTTTTAGTTATATCTTAAATTGTTTTCATGTTAGTAAATGTAGGTCTTTTTTTATCCTAATGCTCTTTTTCTCCCCATAATTTTATTCATAAACAAATAGCAATGAGACAGTTTCAATACTTGATAAAAAATACCTGTTCCATGTTATGCCTAAGATGTTTGATATGCAGACAGATAGTGAGGTTAAGCTTAACAGCCTAAGTTGTATGGTAATAACAATAAGCTTGTCTTCTGGATGGTTAACAATCTAAGTTTGCAGACCAAAATTAGAGAAAAAGGAGGGCTGCAAGGAAAGCCAATATTTTGGCCCTAGCCTTCTAAGGTCAATTAAGACTCAGTACATATGAGAACTTGTACTGTAATGTCATGTAACTCAGTAGTGTCCCAAATTTTCTGATCAAGGAGATTATGGGGTCAAAGAGGAAAGTGATCAATGATGTAGAGTGTGTCTAAGGAGAGTCACATGGAGAGAAAGCATTCTCTCAGGCTTTCTCAGAGAGCACATTGGCCAAGTAATGGCCGTGAGTCATCCACATGGCTGACACTGACAAAGAAAGGGTCTACAATCTGAGGTACAGGATCTCAGGATAAATCCTGAGGGGATTTCACTGACCTTATCAGACCCAAAAGCTACAACTCTTGTTGCATAGGTCCTGCTTTAACTTGGTCTTAACCATCCAGCAGAAAAGTATATAAACAAAATATAAGAAGTAAAGCCATGGTGTTATGTTGAGATCCAATACTATTATGGGCTACTGGACTCTTTTAGAATATTTTGCTGAGTTAACACACTTATAACATTCAAATAATGGAACTTAACAAAAAAAGGCTATACAGATGAATGTCCATTTTGTATCTGTGTATTCAAAGTGGTTAGGATAGATATATAGTTACATTCTCTTAATGAATAGAGGGATTTGTTCTAATGGTGTTTGTAAATAGGATATCAAGTTCACATCTTGTACAGAGATGAGATTTTGTCCCTCATGTTTATCAAAAATTGCATGCAGATATTTAAGAAGGGGGAGGAGAAACTCTACAGGTGACAACAATAACTTCAAGCTTGGTGGGCCCCAAAAGAACTGCCCATGAGGAGAGAGGAAATTCAGAAGGGAGTTTTGGGCTGTACACCTCAATATCCTGCATATGGAGGCAGGCTCCAAACAGCAGTAGTGAAAATGGACAGAAAGTGAACAACTTTGAGAAGTATCTTACAGCTAGAATTACAAGAACTGTGTGGTAGATTAAATATAGAATCAGGAAAAATAGGACACATCAAGAATAATAGCTAGCTTTTTACATTTTACAGAAGAATAGAAATATGCACCATATTTTCATACAGTTGTATTGATGAGTTAGATAAATAAATAAGTCTATACCTCAGAAGACAGGTCTAGACTAACTATCTCACATAGAATAAGAGCTAAACCCAGCATCAGAATTGGAGACTCCCACACTATGGCCCTGCCATAGTGAAGCTTCTCTTCGCTTCACTTCTCCTCTCCTCTCCTCTCCTCTCCTCTCCTCT